ACGTTGACAAATAAGCTCAAGAGTTTTGAAAGACAGGCATCTTTTTGTGGCTATCTCTCTCTTGGCATTCTTCGCACAATCTTGGAGGTGTTGAACCAGTCCATAGTATTCCTCATCAATGTTGTCAACGACAGCATCTTCCCATGTTGCTGCAATAGTGCTAAAGAGCTCCCAGTTGGTGGTCATTCTGGGAGTTCTCTTCTTAAAGTTTTCAGCCCTTTCTCCCATCTCTGTGAAGTAGAATTTTGCACAAAGGAGATGGTGGTTCGAACCCGTTTGGATTTTTGGGACAACAGCGACATCAGTCAGGCAAAACCATCGATTGAATATGATGTGGTCAATTTCATTGTGGAACCGTCCACCAGGAGAGTCCCAAGAGATTCCCAAGTCCAATGTTTAGATTCAGCCTTCTGGAACTGTGAGTTACCATGGATGATCTTTGTCGACATGATGAACTCAGACAGTCTCTCACCCTGTTCGTTCCATTCTAGGCCATGGGTCCCGATGTGAAGTTCTTCAGCTGATCTTCTCGATCCTATCTTGGCATTAAAATCACCAACAAGGATCTTGTAGAAAGTGTGATCTTCTTTATAGAACTTCTCCAGCTCCATGTAGAACTTCTCAATTTCTTCTTCATCATAATTGGATGTTGGTGTGTAGACAACGAAGATAGAAACTGCCTGCAGTGAGCCACATCTATTCAAGTGTAATCATTCGATTCGGGTTGCTATGCATTCGAATGAACCAATGCTTATGGCCAAGTTCGTGTTGACAAGGACACCGACACCACTGATGCCAGTAATTATTTGGGCTGTTATAAAAATTTGCTTTTTAAGTTTTGGTTTCACTCTATTGCTCTATTTAAAATTACTTTTCAAAATAAATAAATAAAGTAAAGTAAAAGTAAAAGTAAAGGCCCTCCTGTTGATCATCGATTTGCTTGAGCGGGCCCAGTAACGTCTCCATTGGAGACTTTGTTGTTACTGTGTCTGGCATATCGAATACGTCACAGGGAGCTTGCCAGGCTCTTCCGTGCGGGCGAGATACTCTCGGTAGCTTGTCGGGTTCTCTGAGAGGGGCAGAGGAATCGAACTCGGGTCAGTCATGTTGGCTGAGTGCAAGGCAAATACCCTACCGCTGTGCTATCGCTCCAGTGTGTCAGGATGGCCGAGTGGTCTAAGGCGCCAGACTCAAAATAAATAAATAATCTTAAATAATATATATTTAGGATTTTCTTGTGCCTTTATTTTACTCATTTAAAGTTTGAAGGGAGAAAATATTCCTAAGATCCTAAAATATAGGTACTAAATTTAAAATATAGGTACTCTCTGGACTTTGCACTATCCCTTGTGGTACTAACAATTTGGTTGGGGTCACACATTCCTGAGTGCATGAGCCAGAAGTCACAAGGGTCACACATTCTCTGGTCATGCTCATCAAGTTTGAACACTTTGCTTGCAGTCCTCACTGGAGATGACATTCTTGTTTGTGCACTTGCACCTTTGTGTGCCAGAAGTTGTGCTTTGGATACTGGGTATAATAGCAGTGCTAGAGATCAGAGCTGTAGTGCTAGTGATTGTTCAAATATACTGGACAGAGTGGTCAAACTCAAGGATTTCTCAGGTAAGGTAGAAACTCTTCCACTTAACTACTTCTCAGACTAGCAAATTTTTTACCTTTGAAACAAGTGGCTCTGCATTTACACTTAGCCCTGGGCCATGCAAATTGTTTAAGTGGTCTTGAACTTTTCCTCCAAAGTTTGTGAAAGATTTTCTCTCTTTCAAACCTGGTTTAATAATGTTTAATGTAACTTTTGATTATTATTGCCTTATCCTAAGATTATGGAATTATTTTCCTTTTTCTATACATGTGCAATCGATTGCGATATCAATGTCAAAATTTTTAATTTGTCTTTGCTCTCATGTGTTTTAACATTCGACCTCTTTTTTTTTTTTCTTTTTTGGGTCACACCCGGCGATGCACAGGTGTTACTTCTGGCTCATGCACTCAGGAATTACGCCTGGTGGTGTTCGGGGGACCATATGGGATGCTGGGAATCGAACCTGGGTCAGCAGCATGCAAGGCAAATGCCCTACCTGCTCTACTATCCTTCCAGCCTTAATATTCAATTTCTTATTCCTTCCTACCAAGCACCATTTTAAATTGTTACTGTAGCACAGTGCCTCCATGTCACCCAGTGACTACATCAGCATATGATATTATTTAAATTTTGATGAAAACTTTGCTCAGAACCGTCCTGAGAAGAATGCTCAGGAGCACAGCACAGAAAGCTGTACTGAAGACTCATCCACCTGCTTTGGAGACTGTAGGTGCACAGCTAAAGTCAAAGTATGAAGTAAAAACAAAAGTTACAATGTTATGTGAAAGAATTACCTATGTTAAGAATGCATTTACAGTAATATATAGGAACATGAAGCAAGAATTCTAAAAGTACTTATCTGAAGCGTCTGGATAGTAGTGAAAATAAATATATTTGCAGTCTGCTCAAAATATGACCTCACTAGCAATTAAGACAATAATATTGAGCTGCATGGGAGGGGTTGAAAAAAACTGATGATGAAATGTGGGAGTAAATATAAGCAATATTTCTAAACGAATACACCATTTTTATAATGAAGATTTTTTTTCTTTCTGGGACACACCCAGAAATGCACAGGGGTTACTCCTGGCTCTGCACTCAGGAATTACTCCTGGGGGATGCTCGGGGGACCATATGGAATGTGGGAAATCGAACCTGGGGTGGCCGTGTGCAAGGCAAATGCCTTCCCCGCTGTACAATCGTCCCAGCCCCTATATAATGCAGTTTTAATCATGAGTGTGAAAAATAATAAATTCAGTATTATAAGTCACCATATGTATATTTAGCAATATCTCAACAACAGCAGCAAAATGGGATTATTATCTCTCCTAAATGATATATTTCTTTCAGTTGAATGTTTTAATTTTGTATATTACAAGTTAAAATGTTTGAAAATGACTACAAATAATTCCTTACCATAAAGAACCCAGATTCAGTATGGGATCATCATGCACATCTCCCACAGTCCAAATGATGAAATTAAGAGATAAACTGAAGCATGTTAACATATTTAGTTAATAATTTAAATGACTAAAATGTGATTAAAATAGGGTCATATTAAATCAGAAGTGGTTAGACATGTCTTGTGGAAGGAATCCAGGGAAAAGGAAAATAGAGAAACTGCAGGAGCAAATAAATCATCTGATTGATTATAATTTAAAGTATAATTGAATATGATTGCTGGTTCATGGGTCTTAATTGCATAACCTGGAGACTTTACAGGCTAATATTTTGATTTGCTCATGTATATCTCCACTTTAAAGTTACCTTAACCTAATGAATCTTTCTGTTTAATTAGTTTAACAGTGCAAAACATTCTGTTTTTATAACCTCAGATCTCTGTCCCACCTTACCTTCCATGTGGACAACCCAAATAAAACCTTGGATTTCTGCTTTTCTGGCATTTTCAATGATATTCTTACAAATGGAAGTTTAAATGACAGGATCCTTGGTTCTTGCTCTATACTAAAAGGCATAGAACATAAGAGTAGATCTTCAGACTTTTCAGAGCAGAGGGTTAATACACGCAAAAAAAAAAAAGACATGTTTTGTCTATAAAGATCAATTTTCTTACTTTGGTACATTTACACAATGGAGTACTATGTAGCTGTTAGAAAAGATGAAGTCACGAAATTTACATACAAGTGGTACTACATGGAAAGTATCATGTTAAGCGAAATGACTCAGAAAGAAGGGATAGACATAGAAAGATTGCATTCATCTGGGGAACATAAAGCAACAAAATAGGAAACTAACACCCAAGAATGGCTGAGATTAGTACCAGGAATTTTACTCCAGGACTTGGAGGCCAACCACACATACTAGGGGAAAAGGGAGCTCAGATAAAGAAGGGAACACCAAATAAAGGTGTTGGGAGGATCCTCCCAGTATGGGAGAAGCATGCTGAAAGTAGACTATAGACCAAACATGATTGTCACCCATTGCCTCTTTTGCAAACCACAACACCCAATAAGAGAAAGAGAACCAAAGGGAATGCCCTGCCACAGAAGCAGGGTGGGATGGGGGGGATGGGGGGTGGGAGGGATACTTGAATCCATGGTGGTGGGAAGTGGACACTGGTGGAGGGATGGTATTTGATCATTGTATAATTAAAACCCAAGCACAAAAATGTGTTAGTCTATAACTGTACCTCATGGTGTTTCACTAATAAAAAAAAATCACTGAAAAGGAAAAAAAAGGAGTAGATCTTCAGACTTTTCAGAGCAGAGCGTTAATACACACACAAAAAAGACATGTTTTATCTATAAAGATCAATTTTCTTTAAAATGGGAACTTAAGTATTACCTTATCAGCAAGTTTGACCTTAGAAGAGTGATGAAACTCACCTTCCTTTTGTCTATCAGGAGCAGTCTTCCTGGAGAATGGAGTGATGGTACAGTGGGAAGGACATACGCCTCATACATGACTGACCAAGGTTATATCAGCATCTCACAAGGTGATCCCTACCAATCCCTGAGGGTGTGACTCAAGAATCCCCTCCCCTCCTAAAAAAATAGAAACTAGGAAAAATCTTCCCCAAAGTGTCAATGCTTTTATATTTCTCTTGAAAATATGTGAATGAGAGATTAAATATAGTGGATTATGTAGTTGGAATGACAATAAATTCCCTATTGGAAATAACAAGGTTAAATTTCAGGATCTAAAACTGATTTTGTGCAACCATTAAAGTAAAGGTGAAATGAATGATATGTTGTCCACATTTTATAATTGTTAAGTACTTAACCTTTTAGATTGAGTCTGCTTAGAGGGGTTGGTTTTAAATGCATCCTTATTAGAGCATATGCATTTCTATAATTACATATTGAACACTACTTTATTTAAGGTCAATAATGCTCAAGACCTGTATTACTGATGGTAAGCCTTTTTTTTTTTTTTTTTTACAATGCAATCCTTATTTATTCACTATTATCCAGAATATACTTCTGTACACATTAAATTCTTCAAGTATGTCTAGGGCAGTGCTTATAAAAGTGAGGTCTCACTGCTAAATTAATGGGCATCTTTCTTTTGATGACTATTTCTAATTTTAATATATGCCAGAATTCTAACATTTTTGATTTTAAAATCTATTATATAGTCTCAAATACTGTAAAATACTCAAATGAGCCAAATATATAATTTAATTTACATCTAGTTCAACACCCCTTTTAGCACCAGAGGTTAAAATAGGATCTGCCTTAACCAAGTGTTCTTTCATTAGTTACAGTTTGTTATCTCATATTTCTACATCATTACACCCCAACTGAAAATAAAGACAACCTGGTCAAATTCTTTCATCTTAAATAAATAAGCATTCCATACACTTCACTCTTCAATGCCTGTCTTCCTTTTGTGTATGTTTCTTTGTAACAACTATATTATTAAGCCAAAGTCCAACTTCTCACTGTCTGGGAACTAAGTGAGTAGCATAGGATTCTCTAGGTTTGCTTTGAAACTTTCCAAGAACCGGGTGGCCAGTTCATCATCGACCACTCGGCTATCACTGGACATTGTGACGGTGATGAGCTGGCGCTGCTGCAGCCTGGCATTTCCCTCTTCATCCTCAGTGAGCTTCAGCACAGGTCGGAATCTCCCAACAGCTAAAATGCAGGCCTGAGGGGGGTTGATCACTGCAGTAAATTCATCAATGCCAAACATCCCCAAGTTGGAAATACTGAAAGATCCTCCTTGGTATTCTTCAGGTAACAATTTTCCATCTCTTGCTTTCTTTGACAGAACCTTTACAGAGTTAGCAATTTCCTGTATACCCTTAGCAGCTACATCTTTGATGATTGGCGTAATTAAACCTTTGTCTGTTGCCACAGCCACTGAAATGTCAATATAGGGAAGTTGCTTTGCACCCTCTCCATCCCAGCTTACATTGACGTCTGGCATTTGTTTAAGGGTGACTGCTACTGCCTTGATGATAAAATCATTTACTGACACTTTAATGTCATCTTTAACTAGTTTTTGTCTAACTTTTAGGACAGCTCCAAGGTCACAGTCCGTAGAAGCATATGCATGAGGCACAGTACTTTTAGATTCAGTTAACCTCTCCCTGTTGCTTTTCATTTTCTTGTATGTCTGTGCTATTTTGTGTATTTATAGGAGAAAAAAATTCCTTTGACAACTCGTTAAATTTTTTTTTTTTTAGATCACACCCAGTGATACGCAGGGGTTACTTCTGGATCATGCACTCAGGAATTACTCCTGGCGGTGCTCGGGGGACCATATGGGATGCTGGGAATCTTACCCTGGTCAGCCTCATGCAAGGCAAACGTCCTACCTGCTGTGCTATTGCTCCAGCCCTGTTAAATTGGTCTTTTTTTTTTAAGTCAATATTTAGATACTTATGTGGGGGGAGGGGGAGCAAAATGCAGTTTAATTTTAGGAGAAAAAAATCAGTTAACATTTACCAGTGAAAGAACTCTTCTTATGGTATTTAAATAGTTTAACATCTCAAGTAATGGAGCAGATGGAATGGATAGTTAACATCACTGGAGTAAATTTAAAACAGGGATTGGATGAGTGGAGCTGGGGGCTATAAAAATAGTACAGCTTCGAAGGCATTTGCCTTGTTTGTGGCCCACCTAGGTTTGCTCACTAACAGCCCATGTGATCGTCCAAACCCTTAAGAAGTGATTTCTGAGGACAGAGCCAGGAGTAAGTCCCAAGTACAGTTGGGTATTGTCCAAAAAAAAAGCAAAACAAAATTAAAACTGGAGCTGAGTAGGTTACGACAGAAAAAAAAAAAAGATAAAACAAAACAAAATAAACCAGAGCAATTGCTGTCTCTTTAAACTGACCAAAAATAAAATGAAAAGGGGGCTGGAGCGATAGTGCGGTGGGGAGGGCATTTGCCTTGCACGTGGGCAACCCGGGTTCGATTCCCAGCACCCATATGTCCCCTGAGCACCGCCAGGAGTAATTCCTGAGTGCAGAGCCAGGAGGAACCCCTGTGCATCGCTGGGTGTGATCCAAAAAGCAAATAAAATAAAAATATGAAAAGATATGGAGTGTTGGGGAGGAGGGGCAGACCCTGCCCTGCCAAAGGCCCGTAACCACAGCCACAACTACAGCTGCAGCCATGCCTACACCCACAGCCCACATTTCAAACAGGATTTTCTTTTTTCTTTCTGACTTCTTTAAACTCAGGAAGTTGAGCAAAGGCCAAGGGTCTGACCCATTTTTTTTCCGCAGTGACTAATTAAAATTTTTTTATAAAGAAACCTCTGGAATCATCTAGACGTTCTGCTGGGACTGAAATGTCCATGATGACCTAACTTCTGGGAACTTGGTGCTATCAGCTAAGGCAGACTAGTTTTCTTCCCTGAGGCCTGTCCTGCTCTCTATTAGTATCTGATTCGTCTCTTATTAGTATCTGACTTTCTTTTATTTTTTTAAATTTTATTTTAATTAATCATCATGAGATACATTTACATCACCTTCCCAAACTTCAAACTGTACTACAAAGCGATAATAATTAAAATGGCATGGTATTGGAACAAAAACAGACCCACAGAGCAGTGGAATAGGATTAAACATCCTTACACATACCCTCAAATATATGAGCATATGAGGGAGCAAGAAATGCGAAGTGGAGCAAGGTAAGCCTCTTTAACAAATGGTGCTGGCAAAACTGGACAGCTATATGCAAAAGAAAACAGGGTTCAGACTTCTACCTAACACCATGCACAAAAGTCAGATTAAAATGGACCTGACCCAGTTTAAAGAGGACAGACAAGCAATGTATTTGTATTTCCACCTGAGATCAAATTTAAAGTGATTACACTTATGTCAGCTTTTTATAGTGTAAGTAGTCAATTTCCAATTGTATATGAGGCTTTTTTTGGTTTGCATTTTCATAGTAATAGTGTAGAAAATTGTCTGGCAGTCAAAATTAAAGAATGCATGGAGTTTTATAATCCCTGTGAATCTGAGTGGAATGAGTTGCTGCTCCACAAGATGGCCACCAATGCATGCTCATCTTCCCACTCCAGCATTCACCTTTAATAAAAGAATATAAATGCTCTAACTTTTATTTTAGGTGATTAGCCAGTTTGAATTACTTTGTTGACACAAGCATATCTCGGGTGTTTACTGGAAGGTTAATGTTAAAAGAAATTAATGTCGTGGTGGGTTTGTGTTTTTCTGCAAGGCAGATATTGATGAATGAACACAGGAAATCATTGAGTGCCACAACCATTCCCAGTATGTTAACCTGCCAGGATGGTACCACTTTGAGTGCAGAAGTGGTTTCCATGACAATGGGACCTATTCACTGATCAGTGTTGGCCTATTAGCTTCCAGAGTTTGGAGAAGTCAAAAATAAAAAGAAAATCCTATTCAAAAGGACTTATAAAGTGACTCTTTATCTTACTTTGTGATCCCTTTACCAGCCCTTTTACCCTCATCAGGCCACTATGAAATCCATGACCTCATTCCTATTGTTTTTATAAAAAACAAAATAAGTACCTAACCAAATATCCCTATTTCTGCCTTTCTGCTGGACATGGTAGGTTTTTGCTAGATTCTGTGATTCCTTAACTGCAATTTTTAAATTTCCAATAAATGTGCTTCCCTTTGTTAATAGCCTTTTAAATTTTGGGGTAACAATTCAATTAACATGCAAAGATATGCAGGAAAATGTGGTCTTATTAAGATTTTATCTGTATTGACATAGTTACTTTAAGACATCTAATTACAATTTTTTCTAAAACAAAAATTAGTATTTCATATTACAAAAATAGATTTTAATTGCAGTTTTGATTATTATTATTATCACAAGGACATTAAGAGTTGGGTCACTATTTCATAGAAAACATTTTCCAAAAACCAGGTACTAAAATAATAGTGTGGGCAATGATCTCACTTTATATTGATAGGTAAAATAACCCGAGTTTTATACAAGAGAAAAAAATATAAATTAAAATTGTTTCTTATTTTCTTCAAAACATTCATGCGATAATTATTTTTCAGTAATCATTTGTAGGATAACACTGTTTTGTCCTTCCTGCATAGCCTCAGGTAGTTTATTCAGAGAAATGTCCTTTTTGTATGGATACAAGAAGACAGTATAACTATGCTTTTGTAATGTGACTCTCAGTGATATTTTCCTCTTGGGCATCTATTTTCTCACCTAAGCCTCAGCTGCCCTTACTTCCTAGCACCCCCAAAGGCAGGGTCCCGAAGAGGGACTGGATGGAACCAGGGCAAACGGTAAACTATGTGCTACCCTGGCATCGAGATGGGCCTGGCCAAAGTACAATAATGCTTAATTATAAATTAAGAGCTTGGTCATGGACAAATGCTGTCATGATCCAAAAAGTAATAAATAGATTTGGACACAGCTAGGGTTAGGAATGATTAATCTGGCCTGAGCTCTTTAGTCTGAGTCTGTGGCAAGATGTTCCCAGGAGAGCTGCCCTACAAGCCTCAATGTTATCTCTTACTGTGTCCATACAAAAATAACTAGTATTGAGATGTTGATAGAGTTATTAGACTAAGGAAAAGAGAAAAACACCGTAAGGGGTATTTTGCACTTGGGCAGTCAGGAAGGGCTTTGGAATACCTCTTAAGTGGTGTTCCCTTTGAACCTGGTGGGCCCTCAGGAAGGGCTATCTTGTGTTGATTTGGCTACCTGACTGGGTACAGTGTCAGCAGAGTGCTGGGGAGTTGGAGAGAAGAGAGCTGGAGAGAAAGAGTGCAGGGCGGCAAGATGGACCGCGGAGAGACTAGCAAGGGGAACAGAGAGAAAAGAATGTAGAAGAATACAGGAGCAAGCATGTGGAGAGAGAGAGAGCCCAGGCTGAGAGATGGACTGTGGAGAGATGAGCGGGAGAGACAGAAGGAGACAGGAATGAGGAGCAGTGAAGACTAGAATAGGGGGCTCAGAGAGACTGGGGCAGCACATGGGGAGAATGGAATAAATGTCATCTGATCAATCAACCGGCTTGGCCCTTGTTTCCTCCACCATCTGCCCCATGGCCTGGGCTGCCCTGGCTGGGGAAGTGGCCTGGGTCCACCCAATCTGAATGCAGGCGACCAAAGGGGAAGAGCAGTGGGTGGGCGGCGGGGGGGGGGGGGGGCGGCCACCCCTCTAAAGATTTTATACAATCATTAAACTGATACTACAACTTAATCAGTTTATTTTAACAGCATCTAGTGTTTTCTTTTTGATTTGTCTTTTGGGGGCACAATTGGGTGTGCTCAGGGACCTTGTTCTGGCTTTGTGCTTGGGAATCACTTCTAGCTGTGCTCAGTATCCATATAGTGCTAGGGACCAAATGTGATCAGCTGCATGCAAAGAAAGCACCTTAAACCCTGTACTGTCTCTGCAGTCCTTAAGAGTCATAATATTGATTAAATATCAAAACCCTTATTCCTATCTATGTGCTAGAACTGACACATAGGGACCATTAAGTTTTATTGAACATGTACCAAATTTAAAAAACACTCGTTATATTTTATACACATAGCTTCATTTATTCAACAGTGTTGTAGATTTAGCTTCCACATTTTTCACATGCTTGTAATATACCTACAATAAGTTTCTAAATCTTTTCCATATGAAATGGGAAACTTCTAAATGATGTGCATTTTATATGAACTCCATAGACTGCAAGAACAAAGAGTGTGTATTGTTCCTTTTATTTTAACAGTGGCTAAAGTAAATGAAGGACAGAGAGCTTTGAATACATACGGTCATTCCATTCTGCAGTTGTTAATAAATATTTTGTATGGTTATGGTGTAGGCAGGTAGACAGGGAAGGCCCCCTCCCAAGGCAATGACAAAAGCCAGCCCTGAAGAAAATAGGAGAAACAGGAACTAAGGCTTAATAAGACCCTCACCTGGCTCCAGCAACAGACCCAAAGAAGCTCCAGCAGGAACAAAAGGCCAGGAAAGGAATTTCAAAAGAAGACCATCACCACTCTCATCCTTCCTGGTAACCTTCTTAGCAACGGACTTTTACCTGGGAAGAAGCCCCATGTGGGGGCAGTTGGAAAAACCCTATAAAGGCCACCTTGAACAAAAGAAGGGCATGCATATGCTGCCCGAGCCCGTGCGCTGC